AGCCATGTTTTCCTTTTTTTCTCTCTCCTGTTCATTTTTACTTTCTTTTTCTAATTTTTTATTTTCCAGTTCAATGTTCCCATTATCTTTCTCTGCTCAAAAGAAAAAGAAAAAAAGAAGAAAAGATTTGGCAAAATATATAATACAACCTTATCAAACACATACTTGTAGTTGGAACAGAGAGAATTTGTGATTTCTATCTAATGTAATAATTCGTCACCAATTTGATTTTAAATATTATCTAATAAATACAAGTAAACTGCCATAGAAAGAACGAACAAATGTTCATTACTGACATAGCATTGATCTGACAAAAGAAATCAGACACTATATGCTTTGGTATCTTCCTTTTTTTAACATAAAAACTGCACAAATAAGCGCACTGCTTGCCTTATGAAATTAAAACATAAAATAATCAAATGAAGAATATGAACATAAATTTTTAAATGAATTTTCATGGGCTAACAACTAATTTTGAAGTAAAGAACAAACAATTATAGCTCTGATAAAGACATTAATGACTAAACAGCCAAAGGACAAGCTTAACACATTCCCGCCAGGGGACAGTCATGCATGTACCACTGCTGGTTCAAGCTGGCTGGGAGGTAACATGTTCAAATCAAGCCACCCAGCAGGGAGACACGGTTACTGTATGTTTAGGCAACTGCTGTATTCCCAGCCAATTACTGTAAGTGGAAAAAAACTTGAGAAGAATCTGACCATTAGGAGGAGATACAAATCTTCATTTAGAAGACAGACTGGAATCTTTTCATTACGAAATTTACCACAGAAGGCAGGTCTACAAGTTAAGTTCCTGGCCAGGGTTAGGGGATCAGGCCTGCTGCCTGTTTCGGGCCCTTCATTATACGAACCTACGTCATCTCCCACATCCCTTCTATTGCTAACACCTCATAACTACATATTTTCAGTTTTGCATTATGAACCAAAAATTGTTTCATAGCTTAAAATCAAGCATAACTAACATTATTCAGTTGTATGTAATTCTAGATAGCAAAATAAGTAATTCTAACTACCAGCAGATACAGCACATAAATGTCACAATATTTACTAAGAAACGAATTACCTGGTTTTAGAGTTGTAACACTGGCTTGTTTTCTAACATAATCAACCACTTGGCCCAGTCGGCTTGAACTGCAATACTGGACTTCAGTATCACAC